ACAAACCAAAACCAACACAAAGATTATCAACACTAGTTCTTTAGAAATACAAACACCAATTTCCTGGGTTTGATGAAATACAAGTATGCTGCTTCTCAGCAAGTGATTTTTCATCTGTCATTGCCTCCGTAAGTTTAGGGTTTGTGCTTAAAAGGTGGTTGGTTTATTTGTTGTTTCAGTCTTTGAAAGAAACTCCATGTTATCAACAAAACTGACTTTTTCTCCTGATTTTAAGAACTTCTGTATAGTGCCCAACACTCTGCTGCCACTTCAGAGTACTTGAGAATGTGCGTACGTTTGAGTGCTTGACTACAGGACAGAGGGCCAAACACATCTGGCTTGTGAGCCACACACCCTAATCAGAGACCTACTGGCAACATACCAAAATGCTTGGAGCACTGAGGGGACCAAAAGCTTCAGGAAAGGCTGAAAGATGATGCCTTTTCAGATTGCTTCCCACTACTTCATTGTAGTGGCAGGGAATGGTGTGTGCACTGAGATTGTAAGTGAACCCTGTAAAGTCAGCCTAGCTTGTATTCCCACTGCTGAACATCCAAATTAGTGAGCAGTAAAACATTTTTGTTGCTTGCGTGACATAACTCTGACACAGGAGTCACAATTTAGGGAATTGGTAGCCACAGGCAGCCCAATAGTCATAGACTGGTCACTGCTGTAGTAGGAATTGATGCTGTGTCCAGACCAGAGCATCGGCATAGAGAGCAATCAAGCCCTAAATGAAGAAGAAAACCATTTTGAGTTGTAGCTGTTTCCAGAATTAGTACCATATTGGAATTGTCTTTGTTCAATCCTTTACTAAGCTCTTCTTAGAAATACACAACTATTGGTGGAGGAATGGAAAACAGTCAAAATCCCTTAGCACATAAAGAAGAAGCAAAGAAGAAACAAAATACTCTGCTTCATTTTCAAAGCTAAAAAAAATCGTAAGATAGTCCAGGAATCAAGCCCCTGCTTATGCTTCAAATAAGATACTTCATGCTGACAAGGGCTCCCAAATTTCAAGACCCGTGACTCTCTATCAGCATCACACATTCTTTGCTATCCACAATGCACTGTCATCATCAGCTTTTTTATGAAAGGCATTCTGAGGATGTAATTTCCAGCTGCTTACCATAAACCATGTGTGGTTTGTACACAGCTATTTGGGAAGTGATAATGTAAACTGGAGTGCCTGTCATAAAAAACACCCTCACAGCACATATATTGGCAATTCCAACACAAAAATTAGAGTCTGTACGCACACTGAAACTCGGCCATGTTATTTTCACTTATGGGGAAAATGCTGCAAATTAGTGGTGAGGCAAAATGATAGGAAGCTTAAATCATCTTTGATAAAGCTACACCTGTTTTCTAAAATATAGACATTCCGGGTTAGTATATGTGAAGTGGAGTAATGTAACAGCTCTCAAATGTCAAGGATATTAGAAGGACTGTGTCTGACCACACAGAAGAAAGCCTACCATATGCATTCCTCCTTCAGCATTGTTACACGTGTTAGGCAGTGGGAGTGTACTCCTCTATGAAATCACACAGGGAGTTTTGAGCAGAACGTTATTCAAGGCAGTCACAGGTCCTCACTCTTACTAGAATTTTTAATTATAATTATTTCATATGGATGAAAACAATTCAATGAAAATATGCAAACAAACTCTTGCTAAACAGGCAGCAATGTTTTGAAAATAAATAGCAAACAAAACCGACCAAGTTATTTGGGTTACTGAAAATGTTTTTGCAATTGATAATTGTCACTCAAGGAAGAGACTACCAGCGGTGACTGTGGTTAGCAGTGTTTTATGACTAACACCATGGGTGTGTTATGACAGAGCAGTGCTACAAAGCAAAATTTACTGTAATTTTAAAAATATTTTTATGCATCCCCAGAGCTCAAGAAAAACAAAGGTACACTTGAGTTAGCTAGTTGTTGTTAAATGCCCACAGAACTAGATGTAGACTCAATAAATTGTGACCTTTTCATGGAAGGAATACAGAGTGCTTCAGGAAAGATAAGGGTTCATAAGGTAGTCAGTTCTCTTTCTGAGACACTCTGAATCCATGCCTGACCATACTTTCAGGTGCAGTTTTTAGTAAGGTATAGGATAATGGTAATGTGTAGTCAGTGTTAAAGTGGTTTTTGCATTTGATTTTTTTTTAAACTCTTAAACTTCTTGGTTTAACCTAGTGTTAAGGAGGAGAAGGCAAGATGTTTCTACAAGGAAGAAAATAGAGACATTGAGCGAGACAATAATGGTAAGGAATATGATAAGACAAAATGGGTGGAAAAGCTCCCCAGAAAGCAGACTGACTACTTTTAAGTATCAGAAGAAAGGTTTTGGTCTTATGTAGTGATCCTGACCTAAGGCTGCTGCAGTGGGGCATCTTATTTCCTCCCTATTATCGTGACCATCTTATTTCATTTCTCTATAGTCCGTTTATTTGCACTTTCTCAACACTTTTGGAAGACTTTGAAAAATAATCCTTTTCACTGAAGTTTTCTTATATGTTCTCTTCTAAATGTGCTCTGTCTATTACTGTGGGAACATTGGGACCTTTGGTTCTTAAGAATATACCAGCTTGGCCCTATCTTTGTTCCTGCTGCTGCTCCTTGTTTCTGAGATAAAGTTACAGTCTTGCATTTATCCCAGTTTTGTACAAGAAAATTTATTCTCTGTGAGGAACCTAAGTACATAGAATTATTATATGCAAGAATTAGAAATAAATATTTCTGGAAACATAATGATTTTTTTACATTCTGAAGATGATTTCTGAATTTTGATTGACCTTGTTAATAATCCTGTTTTTTTAAACCATGGGTATTGTAATAATAGCTCTCAGGTTTCCCAGGTAGTTACACTTTATAGTACTGATCCTGAAAGCATTTCTTTGGGGATGGTTGTCTGGTCTGTAGAGGACTTCAGCAGAAGCAGTGAGACTCTACTATATGTAGGACTCAACCCAAGCAAAGGAAATTTCAGAGGCAGAAACATAATTTATAAACAAGCAAGGCATCCAGGCAGTTTTCTGATTATGATACACAAGCCCATTTGTACAACTGTGAGTCAAATATTTAATTTCCAGAAACTTTTCAGAAGAGTAAGAGAATCAGGTATCTTCAGGTCTACATAAACCTTTAGCCTAAATAGTATGTTACTTGACCACATATATTATAGAACAGTGTTACTAATTTAGCATGGTAGAAAAATTAAACAAGAATAAAGGGTAAGCAAGAATAACAACACTACCAATATATGCAGTCATTCTTTTGTCAGACAATACATTAAGTATTTCTATAACAAACACAACTGAAATCTTCAGACCGGCTTGTAATTAGGCTCCTTTCCAAAAGTAATCCATTAATACGATAGCTGCCCAAATCCCAGTTCAACTTAATTTCACTGACTTTGATTTTTGGACTAAAAGCATTAGGCTTGAACTAGTGAAAAATGTACAAAATGTGCATTCAATTAAGGAGTAATTAGATACTCAATCACCCTTACATCACACTAGAGATTATCCAAGAAAGAAGAGAGATACTACTCACTGCAGTGTATAAAACAGTTTTCTTAATTAGTTTAGCACTAATTGAGATTGAGAAAGTGTCACTGTGTCACAGCATCAGTTTGCCTACATGGAGCCTTAAGAACAGAAAGTTTTTGGCTTCTTTTGATCTTCCTTGCTCAGATTTTTCAGTCTGATTCTCTAATCCAGTACCCTCTGTCCATGCAAGAGGAACCTTTCTGTTCACTGCAGGGAGTGGCTTGGTTCCTGCACCCTTGTATCAGTAGGCCATTGCAAAACACGCCAAGAGATTTTCCAGTGATAGAGAATAGCTGGTTATTATTAGATGGGTTTTTTGTGTTACACCGTTATACCAAACCCCAGAAGGAGCTGGGAATCCTCTGTGCTCTTACACAGAGTGTAACTGTGGCTAAAACCAGCTGCTCTGTGAAGGGCTTACAGCCTTCCCTTGGAAGGCAACTGATAGAAAGTTCTTCAAGTTGACCATCAAATTGTCCTGCTGCTAGACACCATGATTTTTGGGAGTATTGGATGATAACCAGGGAGCACATGGAAATCGCGACACAGATTGTTTCATGGGCAGACACTGAATTCTTAACAGCAGTGCTGGTGACTGACAGCCTCTACACTCCCTTCGTCCCTAAGAAAAATGAGTAGAAACTCTATAGAGGTGTGTTGACTCCTTCTGCAAGCAATTGTAGCCCCGGGTGACCATTTCTGCCCAAGCACTTACGGATTTTTTTGTGTGTATGTACTGAGCTCTAGTTAGCACTAAAATAACCTCAGGAAAAAATGAGATTATTAGTAAAACTGAGAGAAATGGTTTGGCACTCTCAGACCTACTGCTTCTGAACTGAGAGCGCTGGGGCAACCTGAGCAGCTGATTTCCTAAGGATATGCTGAAGCACATGAATATGTGTTTGCATGAAACCAAGTATTGATTTATCCCTGCTGCTAATGAATAAGAATATTACTTCCATTAGGAGGGACAAATTGGGTGATTGCTTTCTATCTCCTGAGGCCACCTGACTCCCATGAGAGCTGTGTACTCAGCACTTCACTTGGTAGGGCCCCTAAAATTGTAAACAGTAAAAAATTCTCTGTGACTAGTGTATTTTCCTTTCTAGTTTATCGCCATGCTTTCCACATTGGAATCAATTACCTGATTGATTCAGAAAGCCAATTGCAAAGCTTTGTTTCAAGTTAATAAGTTTACCATTGCATTTAACTTTGCATTTTCATTGCTATTTCCTCCACTGCTAGTAAATCTTCCAGCACTGGCTTTACCCTAAAAGAGAAGAATCAGGACCATTATGTCACTGAAGTATATACCCTGAAACTGCCCCCACCTGCTGTCATGAAATCCCAGCTTTTAGTTTTCCCTGTCTCCCTGGCTGGACATAAACAGTCTTTCAGACCCACTGCAGAGGAATTTCAGTAACATAATTGTTCCATTCTCTTTCCAGAGAGGGGGAAGACAATGCTCCCACAGTGCCTCAGATGAGAAATGGAAACTTTTGAGGCTGCTGCTTCAGTTGAACCACAAAGCCTGTATTGTTTGTCTTCATCTAATTCAGCCTTGATAGACAGCTGTGCCAGTTGGTCTGTCCGCACGGTCCAGTGAAGTTCTGGGAATGGGGCTGTACATTAAAAGAAGAAAACACATTAAACCTTCCAATTCACACTGTTAACTATTTTTAAATGGCAATTATCTTTGCTTATATAGTTTCTTTGCCATAGCATTCAGTAGTGGTCTATGATCCAAATAGCACTAATTTTAAGCTTGGTATGAATGTTAATATGTAGAAATACTGTTTTAAACACTAGATTTAATTTTACTCTGTATCATCTCTTGCGCTGTCAGTAACCATCTTTTCTGTAGAGGGGACGTGCATTCTATAAAGATAATAAAAATGTTGTTTGCTCGCAGAGAGTATTATACAAATTCTGAGTTAATTTTGGGGCAGAAGGAAGCACTTCTCTGCCAAACCTGTGCACTTAACATGACTGATCTGAATAAAACTGAATGACATTTGCATTACTAGGAACCTTACTGAAATAAAGGACAATTTTGAAATAAGGAAAATTAACCATTATAACAATAAACAGAATCACCTGGATTATTTTCTACTTGGTGAGTCACAAATCTTTGCAAAGAAGTGTTTGATTCAGGCAGAAAATTATCACCCTTTGTTATCCTGTGAATTATGATAGTTCTGTTCGTTCTGTACATTTGCTGAGGATGGTGGTCTGGGGACCTGCTCTGTGTGTCCTGAGCTCACTGCACAGCATGGGGATCGCCACGCTGGGCCACACATGACACATCTGACAGAACAGATAAGGGAATGGTAGTCTAAGCCAGCTAGTTAAGCTCATAGCTTCTGACTCCTGCAAAACAACCAAGATCTGAAGGACCGAATCAGTCCTGTGGTGGGCAATAGCTTTGATCACCATAGGTGTCAGTGAGGTCCACTGTACTAGCCTGAGGAGGGCAGGTTGGTGCAGAGATCTCTGTGAGTGGAAGAACACCGGAGGCACAGACGGCAAAATCCAGGCTGGGGCACAACGGAGTGGCAAACCACAGGCTCACAAAGGGGGAGGTTACTCCGTTGGAGCCGATCCGTGAGTCATCAGTCACAAAGTCATCACCAGGCAATGGTAAATGCAGTGTCAGGAGGCGTGCTTGATCTACCTCGTCAAGGGTGATGGGGGAAAACTGCTGCTGAATAGTGAGTTACGAATTCTCTGAGTCATTTAGGTGTATGTTAGGGACAGAAACAACAGGACAACCCCCCCATGCCACATGTGAGCTGGGTGAGGAAGAGTGGATGCTGCTGACCACTTCGTGCGTTCCTAACTCTGTGTACTGCAGAAGCACGTGCTGCCTTCGGAGAGACACGCAACTGCCCTTGACAGCATGCATTGCAATAAGTGTGTAGAAAATGTACGGCAAGCAGCCCACCATGAAGCCATCTGTTTATTTTGGGCCTAGCAGAGTAGCAATTTTCAAATTGCCCTTTGGGCCTATGGAAACTTCTGTTTCTTAGAGATAATGTTTAAGGAAGCCCCTGTCCACCCTCCGCCCAAATATAATGAAAGTATAACCCCGTTATCTAGTCAAGGGGCTGAAGATCTCAGTGTTTTCCATCTGCGGCGTCCCCAGCGCTTCCATAATGTCCACGTAGCAGCTTCAGTGGCTGCTGCCCCTCTTCACCGAGGACTGCCCGCGCAGCTGCAGCCAGAGCCCAGCGCCAGCACTGCTCACCGCAGCCTGGCCTCCCACTGCCCCACACCTTGCCCACACCTTGCCCACACCTTGCCCACACCTTGCCCACGGGCAGAGAGGAGCCTCTGCGTAACGTCTGCTGTAATGGCCTGCTGCAAGGGCTAGGCCGGACGGTCCGCATTTTTTGACAGGAGCCTGAAAATTCATCCCAGTTGTCAGATTTAGAACTGAAGTCTCGGGGGGCGGGGGGGAAAAAAAAAAAAAAAAAAGCCCAAAACAAAGCCCTGCAAGGTAGAAGCCAACTGGTTTCTGCCAGCTGAAGGCCTCTTTCTATCTCCTTGCACCCAGCAATGAAGGAACCCTCCAAAAGCAGAGTGCCCCGTGGTCTGAACCTGGTAATTCCCAGGTTATATGCACAGCTCATTCGGAAGATCTTTTCCCTTTGCACACAACCTATTATTAACTACTGAGTATTAACTGAGAGGAACTGTAGTATTAATATGGCAAATATTGACATTATGATGAAATCTGAACTAGATTTACTCTCTAAATAAATGCGTTCCTTATCTTGGAGCTGGCTGATATTATTCTGGCTGTGAAATACAGATACATTGCAAAGCAAATGATGTAATGTCTCCACCAAAAAGTCCATTATTTCCCTTTCCTGTGCTCCTTTCCTGTGTTTGCTGTTCTTCCCTGCATTGCCTTGTGCAGTGAACTTCTAGTCATATAAATACTACTACTGAGGAACTGATGTTAGTGAATTTGCCTCAATACTTTTCAGACTTTTTTTTTTTTCCCTAGGCCTGGCTTTGAAAGAGAAAAAATTCCCACTGGTAAAAATACTTGTAACTGTATTTTGTCTTTAGAACTAGATGTGATTGTAATAACAAATTCATTCACAAAACACAGCCATTCTAATTACAGATTGGTCAACCCACATTCATGGTGTGTTGGGAAAAGTTAAATTAGTCTTTCTGGTTTTGGTAGTAATCCACAGGAAAGAATTTTCAGGAAGGGCTCTCTGTGTATTACTTCAGTTACGCTGCACCAGTGAGGGGTTTTATGGAGTGTGATGAGGCTCTGTTACTCTGATTAAAGTTCCACATGCCTGCCTTTGTATTAACATTTTTAACAAACCATAAGAACTGATAAAGGTATTCTGAGGATAGTGTAAGGCCCTAAATTAGTCATTTCCTCTTCATGCCTACAGCTGCTAAAATTCTGAATCAAATCGCTATCTGCACTGGAAGTGTTTTTAAAGGTAAGTATTAATGTGAGTGATGCTCCGCATAATTTTAAAATATTTGTTAGAAATGTGAATTATAAGTTTCCAAGATACGTTGAGCAGTTACACGCTTGTTGATCAAAAAATTAATGACATAATACTTAAAAGCAGCTATATGCCTCATGAGGCAAAAGCTGGTTCTGCAGCCTTCTGGTAAACCTTAGAAGGTATTGGGAATAGGAGGCAATCCAACTCTTGGGAGAAGGCAGGTGTGTTGGGGCAGGATGTCTGCTGCGACATGTTCTTTAGGTTCCTCTGTAGTTCTCTAGAGCTCCCAGGAATATTTAGAGGCTTTAAGCTCCCAGTTGGACTTCAGACTGTGGTGTGAGGCACTTTGCACCCGTGATCCTGGGCTCCTGCCTCTTCAGATCAGAGGAGCCTCTTAGAGAGCACCGTGCCTCCCTCCGGCTGCCTCTTGCCCTGGCTCCCACATTTCCTTTGTGTGAAAATCAAGGCATAGGTGGAGCAATAATGAATACTAGGCCTGTTCCCAAAATAAACCAGTGACCGGACATAAACTGGTGTGGGTGAAAGGATAGGCTTGACCAGACATTGCAGTGGCAAGCATGGTATGGTGGCTGTGCATAGAAACAGGCGTGAAGTAGGACACAGTCTAAGAGGAAATAAGAGTGGTGTCCGGCCAGCATCCCTGCTGTCTCCTAATGGTTGGTTCATTTGCGTTCCTGAATCCCAGAGGGTAATTGGAGGCTGCGGTTGACGAAGAGTTAAAAGACCTTAACAACAGGGCAACATAAAGTAAAAACACTTTTACTGAGAAATTTCAGCTGAATTTTGTTGAGACTGCAGAAGCAACGAGGAGGGGGAGTTCCCTACACAGACAGCTTCACAAGAAGTCGTACACATCAGTGTTCTCCAGAACCTGCCAGGGCGCAGCTGCAGTAAGCTCAGACTCACCTTCATCAAGCTTGGCTTGGCGGGCACAGCACTGGTGCAGTAATGCCTTGTGCAAATTAATCCTTTCATGGTTGTCGCATCATCTCCAGTGAGAATGAAGAGAAGCGTCCTTCCTTGCAGAAATGGAGAAACCCCGTGGTGAATGATGGATGCAGAGGAAAAGGGGAAATCCCTCTCCTAAGGTTGAGGACTGTGGAAGGAGGACAAATTTTGGCCTGCCTTTTCCTCCTTCACTGGGTTTCACGGTGGCATCATCAGCCATGGAGTTAGCTCTGGGATGTGTTCTTGCTTTATACACCAGTGCTGCCTGCTGAAACGTCAGGCAGTTGGAGAACCATCCACTGCATGTCCTGAGGCTGGACCACGCAAGATGTATTTGGAAGTGTTTGTGTACGTATTTATTTATGAACCTGTAGCTGTCTCTGTAAGCACACGTCTGTGTGCGTATTCATATCTTTAGAATGCTATACATAGAAAAACTATTTTTAAAACAGGGACAATTCAAAATTAATTTTAGAACTTCTAATTAAAAGTAATAAATTCTACTGTGAAGACTGTGTGCCTCACACCAGTTCACCAGCACTGTACTTATACTGTTGGTATTTGAGTGATTTGATATTTTTTCCCTTTGCTTAATCAACATGTGTTAAAGTCCTTTTCCCTTCTTTTTTCACCCATTATTCATTATTCAGTCCTAGATCCTTTATTCTAAATGCTGTTTGAGACTTGTTTTGAAGTCATAATAATTTTTTTTCTCATGGGGCTTTCTCTCTTACAGTAGTCATTTGAATGCTTCATGGGTATTAATGAACTTACCTTTACGCTCACTTTGCAAATGCCTTCTCCCCTGTATCATGTGAGGATTCCTCTCTGATCACAGACTGGCTATCTATGGGATGCCAGCCATAAGAAAAAGTCTCAGCAGTCAGCCATGTTAGAGTGAGACTCTTCATATTGATCTGCAGCAACACGTGGTCCTTGTCCAGGAGAACTACTTGTGACCTTATCTGCAAAGTTAAAAAAACAGCATTGAAGCAGTAGTCACGTCACCTCTTCAGTCTTCTCCCTGACAGATTTGCTGAGATGATGACTTCTGTTGCAAGGTTAGTTTTTCAGTGCTGGATAAGTTTTTGTGGCCTTTCTGTTCAGTATCTTCAAACCCTTCTCACCGATGTTCTTACCATGCTGTGTACAGAGGCAGTGGCAGCTCTTTATTTCTGCTTGGCCTTCTCCAGAGCCTGACCCCATTGTGATCCAGAGGCCCTTCTCCCCCTCAAATATCAGGCAAACAGCTGAAGATGGGGTATAAGAGGGGGGGGAATAATAGATAAACTTGAAAAGAACTTGCCCTGTAGAGTACACAATGAGCTATTCAAGCCTTCAGTAACAAAGAAAAAGGAAAGTATAAAGACAGCATAAATTAAAAACAGCATGAAGAAACTTCTTTAAGTGTCCTTTTCTGTAGCAGGGATGTGGTTGGAAATATTCCTTCTTTATTTC